TCATCATCACACCTGGCTGGAATGGACTTTTTATTTAAAGGACTAACTAACCAATATACCAGAACTTATAAGAATCAACTAATATCTCAGGTTCAATTCCTCCATCTTTCAGGAATAATTTCTGTTTGTCTCACAATGGTATTATAAAGAACACAATGGTATTATAAAATGCAGTAGGGTGTGGTGGTGCACACCTTTAGTCGAATCACTCAGGAGGCAGAGGCAGGCAGATCTCTGTGAGTTCAAGACCAGCCTGGTCTACAAAGTGAGTTTCAGCTAGGGCTCTTACACAATGAAAACCTGTCTCAAAAACAAAACAAAACAAAACCAATAAAACCCACAATGCAATGGGGGCTCAAAAATATATTTGAATTGAAAATAAGAAATTTTTATAAAATGAGATAGGCCTATCACTCAATGACAACATTTGCCTTAAATGCAATAGTCACTAGGCTCAATTCCCAGCAATACACACACACACACACACACACACAATAATAAGACATTTTCATATCTTTGTTAGCTAATGATGGCTAACTTACAGACATCAGAGCTCTCTGTTACACAAACATGACTCTTACTATTTTTTTTCCTTAGTCTCATATTAGCCTAAATTTCTATTCCATGTGCTTTAATACCCATTATTGTCTTTTTGAAAACTGTTCTAAAAATTCTTTACTAAAAGTATACCAAAATTGCACTGTAGTATCTAACAACTCAACCTAAAACACAGCAAGCATACTGGCAAACTCACTTTTTCAATACTAAAACACTATTGTTTTTACATAAAATTCAATGGCTTTATGTTTTTTTGGGTTTTTTTTTTTTTTGTTTTGTTTTGTTTTGTTTTTTCCCCATGTAGGAAATCTGGCCATCACTAACCAATCCAAATAGTAAGTGCTATAGCACTTAATGAGGACATTTTTTAAACTAGTGGATATTTTTAAACATTACAATTCTCTTTTAGCCTAGAATCATGCTTTATAAATAGTCAACCTCATGAGAAATCTATTGTCATCTAATATTAAAAATACATGATTCATCAACAGTAATTTAATGATGTGTGACTAATGACAACTTAGTACATGAACATAAATAATTCATGGACTTGGGCTTCACAAAAGGCTCTTTACTCTAGTAATTCAGAAATTCAGAAATTAGTTGTGTTGTTGTTCAGTTTTTTTCCACAATCATCTTACTAGGCCAGTATTTCCCCCCTACTAATGAGGAAACTAAAAGTACTGGCTAAATGTCTCAGGCCTAATTTTTATTTTATTATTATTATTAATTTTTTTTTTTTTTTTTTTTGGTAAGGCTTTAGGCTAGAGAGATGGCTCAATAGTTAAAAGAACACACTACTCTTCCAGAGGACCCAAGTTTGGTTCCCACAGCCCACATCAAAGGTTCATAAGTCCCTGTAACTCTAGTCCCAGGAGAACCCAACACCTGTGGGCTCTGCCGACACCCACACAGATGTGTGTGCATGTACAAAATTAAAATAAATCTCCTTTTATTTTAGGGGGATTGATCCCTAGTAGCTGACAACCTGATCTATGTAGACATATATCTTGACCAAAAAAATTAATTTTAGTGCCTAGGTTTTTCATCTGTAAAAGATGCCGATGTCCAGATACTCTAAAACAATATGAAATTATTAGAGTTAAACAGTCAGGGGCTGACATTGCCATTATGTGCCCTCAGAGACTAGTAAATTTAAATGTTATGTTCAGATATTCTTTGTTTAAAAGAAATCTGTAGGCAGATGGCTAAACAACAAGCAAAGGTTTAACTATGTAGATTGGTGGGAGGGTACCAAAGATGTGAGCAGGCTTCAAACCACAGTTTGACAATCACTAATTTCATCCAAATCCCTCATTTTTCAGGTGAGGAAACTGCTGCCCAGAGGGGCTTCTTGAACTGCCCAAGGACACACCACTATTTAGTGACACAAGCTGGGACTAAAATGAGGTCCCCCTGACTCCTGGTCCAGAATCCTTTCTACTATACAACGAGGAACACACAAATAAAAGTGGATCATAATTAACTCCTCCATAACAAGACCTCCACAAGGTGTCTGTCAGTGAACATGGTTGTGAACTATCTGCCTATGCCCACCCACAGTGTAGCAGAAAAGAGCTGAGTTCTGAGGCTTATCACGTGACCTTGGGCAACTCATACTACCGCTCTTCCTCAGTTCCTCTAAAGTGGAAACTTAAAATACTCCCCTAGAGTTCACAAAACAGTGACTAAGCAAAGCCTTTTGCACAGAAAGTGCTCAGGCCACGAGAAACACGACAATGAATAAAAGCAAAGGCACCACTCTTCAGGAACATTTCAGGGTTTTAACACCAAGCAAGCTCAAAGAGGGGAGCTGATGAGTGAGACAGCCTTTTCAAGACTAAGCTAGTGGGACACACAGGGCTCAGTGGTATCACCGTCAACATTAAAATAGCAAATAGAACATCCCCCTTTGATTAACATGCAATGGCTGAATTCTTCGTCATAATGTATGTGAAGCATAAGCAAAATTGTTGACATTCTAATACATGAAAAGCAGATTTCTGACTGGTTTACTATGTGACCTCACCAAAAAATAATATTCTCAACAGGAATACCCAATCTTCCTATTTTACTGTACTGTAGCCCCTTACATCCCCAAAGAGGATGGACAATCACGCTACCCAAGATTTCTATGCAAAGTGACACATTTAAATCTCCAGTGGCTAAAGTGGCCAAGTCACTCTCTGGACTTACTCCAGTTGTCCCCTAAATAAGTGAAACAGCACTGGTTTTGTCACACATTTCAGCAAGTGTGTTTTGGGGAGGGGAAAATGGCTAATCATCCCAAGATTATGTTAAGAATTCTGACAAGTGCGGCCATGTTAGCACAGCTCAAAGTGGCATGTTTTTGATAGTACTAAAGCGGCTCTGGTAGAAAGTATGCTGGATCATGACTGGCCCAGAAAAATTAAGATAGTCTGCTACTTAAGACCAGCTCAGTCTGATTTGCATGTCCTGAGCTCTTCTCTGCATGTGAGGTTATCTCATGAGCTTTAGGCTGTCATTCCAGAGCCAAAGACTGTCTTCAGCCTTGAGGCCAAGGGCAACGTTTTACAAACGTTTACAAACTGCCAGTTTTGTTTTGGGTTTGGGTTTTTTCCTTAGAGTTTATTTTCAAGGACTGGGTGCACAGCCTAGTGGCAGAGCATCCACTTAGAAACTGGGAGGGCAGGGTTCAATCCTCAGCATGTAAAAGAAGCAAGGGAGGGGATAAGGGAGAGAGGAGAGAAAAATGAAAAAAAAAAAAAAAGAGAGAGAGAGAGGGGGGAATTTTATTTTAAGGAAAGTAATACCATGACACATTTATCACCAAATTTCACGTTTCTCTTCAGAAGTTTGAATATGGATACTAAAAATGACTTCTAAAATTGCTCAAAGGTTACTATTATAATCATTAAACTGCTTTACTATGCAAAAGGTTAAAAGAGAAGCATCACCTTTCAAATGGGGAAGGGAAAAAAACCACAGCAATAAAGAGTTGAAAGTTTTCACTAAGAACTAACCAAGTGATAAAAGACAGTGGAAACCCACAGCTGGTTGAAGAAAACTCTAGTTAGTATTGTTCTCTTTCCAACTAGATCTGGCACTAGCTTTAGAAGCAAGGAGTCAAAAGAGTGTTTTGCTTTCATTTGCCAAGCTGTAAATAAATACTAACAGGCCCATGCTTTGAGTGAAAGGCATTATTTGGATATAATTATGATTCCTTACAGCATAAATATCCCAAGAGCTGGCCTCTCTGATTTAAAAACTCAACCAAATCAAAAAAAAAATCTAACAGCTCTCAATTTTTCAGAGCTCTGGGATCCCATGCAACAACCACCGTGCGTGTGGGTGGCTCCTTAAATTGTAATTAATTTTCTAACTGATTAAAATGTAAGTTCATCTATGGCATCTGCCACATTTCAAGTGCTCAAGAGCCACCTGCACCAGATAGCTACCATACCGGTAGCCCACGGTGTATAGCATTTCCAGCGTGCCAGAAAGTTCTACTGGCAAGTGCAGCTCTCAGGATACACAATGTACTTAAAACAAGGGGGTGGGGGTGGGGGGGCGCGATTTGCAATAGCATGATTACATTAAGTACGTTCTGGTTTTGCCAAGTGTTATCAAGAAACTGTCCTTAGGAGTTAAATTCCATCTCTCTGGAACACAAAGAAATTCTACCAATTGTTTCTTCAAGTAAATCTTTCAACCTTGAGGCGCTCTTCACAAATACTGACAACCCAGGTCTGTTCCCAAATCAACATCTCGTTCTTTCTGAGTTTCTACTAACTCCAGGGACATGATGCTAAGTTATCCGGGTGTGCAATAACAACACTGCTTCCAGGGTCCTGTCTGAACGTCAAATATATTCCCCTAGCCCTATAACTCCAGCAGCACTTGTCACACCAACTGTCCTGACTTTCCAAAGAGAAGGCAAGATGACAATTTTCTGAACATGGAGCTCATAGGTAACGAATCACAGCTGAGAACTCTGCTGGCTTTGGTGTAAGCGTTAAAGCACACAAATATTCTCCCGGAAACCTGACGTTTGAGCTGGGCTGTGATGATCCCCCATCTGTACCCCACGACACTAGCTAAATGATTTCCCCAAGGGTCCCAGAGGCGGGGGGGTGACAGCAGCATCGGTGTCCTCCGTCCCTCTCTCTCCCTGCACGCTGCACTTGCACTGATGCTACCTAACGTCCACGGAGTAGAGCTTTCCTTTTTGAGGGACTCCCGTCCCCAACGCAACCTGGGCGACACACGCAAAAGGTGCCTCCCGGCCCAGCCCCGAGGCTCCCCTCGCCCCACGCCCACCGACGACGGGGAGGAGCCATGGGGCACCCACACTCGGCGGCCTGCACCGGGCTGGGCCCGCGGCCCGGCCTTTGGCTGCCACGTCCCTGGCGTCCCCATGACCTCGCCCCACTCCCCGCCGCCCCCACGCGCCCCACAACCTCTGCTTAAGGACACGTGGAGGCACGGCTGCGCGTCCCGCGTGGAGAATGAGAGGGGACAGAGATGGCGCGGTGTCTGCGGCGGCGGCGGCCCCCGGACACGACGGGCAGGGGGAGCGGGGAGTGGAGGGGGGGGACAGAGTCTGTAGAAAGGAAAAGGTGACTGGGCTGGGCTGGAGGGGGGCGCAAGATGGCGAGAGCGCCACTGTGAGGGGCGGGGGTTGCGGAGACGGAGGTTACTAGACGGACGGGCCGACCCGTGCGGGGAGAGCGCATGCGCGCCCGGAGAGGCGGCGCGCGCGGCCTCAGTGCCGCTCCGGCTACTTCCGCCACAATCCGGGGGCGGGGCGTCGTCTCCCGCCGAGGCGGCTGGAGCGGGTGGATCCGATCGATCGCACCCCCTCGGTGGGACCTCAGAGCTGGAGGTGCTCTGAGGGCGCCAGGCTCGCGCTGAGGGTCTGCAGCCTGCAGGAGTGCGCCTGCGGATCTAGGATTTTTTTTTTTTTTTTTTTTAAAGGAGCCGATAATCTGCACTGCGATTAGCGGCGCGAAGTTCTCTTCATGGGTCGGGGTGATCTGAATCTTAACCGTGATGGTTTCGAATGGCAAAGAGGGGCAGAGTTCTGAATGACCCGCGGGTTCTGGGACCTTGAAATGCCAGCTTCATTCCACCCCATCCCGCTCCCTACCTGCTGTTGCTCAGAATCAAAAGCAGTGACAACTGATCTGCAAAGTTTCCCCCCCCCCCCAGTTCATTTCTATTAAGATTAATTACGTAAACAGTATGTTTTTGTTGTTGATAACGTCCACTATTTGGGAGGCTTTATAAACAGGCCCTGGTGACTTTTGGAGTTTGGCCTGTCCCTCATTTTGCAATCTTGCACCACCGGTATTGAATTATATGTATGACCTCTTCTTGGGTTTGATGGTAGCAGATGAAGTTCTTTAATGCACCCAGACAGTGGTGTCACATGCTTTCACTGCGCCTGAGTGTCAAGTGTTTATATTTTTAACATTTTTTTTTCAACCGTTTAAGAAAAAAACATTATCCATACTCAAATCCTGCCACTTGCAAATATTAGTTTTTCAGGTCTTTTCAAGCATTACCGCTTCCGTTAGTGTCTTGCTTATGAACACATGTGTTCTGAAATAATCCTATTTGCTTAGCGTCTTTAGAATGACTATTCGTTTGGTTATCTCCTCTCTGGATTGGCCTTATCTTGGGTTTAGTCCTGTCTAATTGCCAGACACTTCAGTATTTGTCAAATACACTTGCAAAGGTACATTTAGGACTCTGTGCATTTAGGATGTGGAGACACAGCATAACATGTGAATCCATCCAGGCGTATTCGTCGGTCTTAGGCAAAGTGTATATACAGTACATGGGAAAGTAGCCAAAATTGCCATTACTTCCCTTAAGAAGCAAGAATAGGCTATATACAATAGGTGAAAATACTTGTAGTACATAACTAAAAAAATAGGTGATAGGGAGGTCAAGGTCAGCCTTCATTATATAGCAATTTTTAAGAGCAACCTGAGCTACATCAGACCTATCTTTAAAATCCTAGCAGGTGGATTAAAGACATGTGCTATATGCCACCATGAATGGCAGACAACCCATCTCTTGGTGTCTTTAAAGGAAAATGAAGCTTGCTAGTGTCGACTTTCACATTTCTCTGTCGTGATCATCTTCAAACAGACTCACTACTTCAAAGGCAAAGTGTGCTTGTCTAAGGGCCCATTTACTTCTTTGTAATGATTACACTAAACGACCAAAGAAGCCTTAATTCTAAAAGGAACAGCAGAAGCCATGGACCTGCAAACTCCTGCTCTTATAGTCTGTAGTTTTTATTTGTTAGGACTATTGAAAGCCTCATTGTGGAAGCACAGACCTTTTCTGGGCAGGACTGCATGCAGTTTGTGACTATACACACACACAGGCTGTGCTATACTCAATTACTTTTCTGACATGGAGGAGTAATTTTGTATTACAGTCTCAAAAGCAACTTATTTTACTTCTTAGACTATATACTTCTGGGCAAGTTTCTTAACATCATTGAGCATCAGTTTTTATATCTGTATGATGAGATATTTTAATCAGTTGAGCAAAAATCTTGCTGCCTAAAAGTCTATGCTCCTTTAAAATAGGAATCCCAAAAAAAAAAAAAAAAAAAAAAAAAAAAAAAAAAATCCTAAAGTTATACAGAATAAGTTTAACTTGTTTGCTTTCAAAAACAGAGCTCTTACTTTGGATATATGAAGATATCCAACTCATGTTATATATTTCAAAAGAAAAGAAAAACCAATATGTAAAAAAGTCATTTGTTGGTACCCTAGAAAAAGGGGTGATAGCATTAAACATAGATAATTTATGCATAATCAAACTGGCTCCTACCCTCCAATTGCTTTCATTTATTTCAAAGCAAGAAAAGCAACATATTGGTAGGAATTGTTAAGAATTGCCGTCCTTGAAACTATGATTATAGGACTGGATTGAAGGCTCAGCATCTAAGAGCTCAAATGGAAAGGACCCAAGTTCAGTTCCCACCTCTCATATGCTGGTTGACAACCATCCATCCATAAGTTTCAGTTCTAGAGCCCTCTTCTGACTTCCAAGGGCACCAGGAATGCTGGTGGTGCATATATTTCCATGCATCCAAAACACTCATATGTAAGGTGTACGGTTTTTCTGCCCGCCACCTGGTATTGTCCTGCTGCTGCACCAGCCCCAAATAATACACAGAGACTCTGTATTTGATACAATGCTGTTGGCCCTGTTACTTGTTTCTTATCGGCTAGCTCTGCCTTAATTATTAACCCATTTCTGCTGATCTATGTATTTCTCTTACCGGGGAGCCGGCGGCATAATGCTTTCTCCAGACTCTCCATCTTGACTCCTCCCTACTACTTCCTATTTCCTCCTTGTCTCCTAGTCCCTCCTATCTTCCTTTCCTATTGGCCAACAGTGCTTTATTATTAACCAGTATGAGAAACATATACAGAATGACATCTCCCATCACTCATAACATCATATAAATTAATGTAAACAATTAAAAACTAATCATAATCATCCTCCTAGGGACTTTTCATTCTATCCAAGTTTAACAACTCAGGATCTTTTGAAACTAGTGCTTGGCTGCTATGATGGTTTGAAAGAAAATGCCCCCCAAAAAAGGAAGTGACGCTATTCGGAGGTGTGGCATTGTTGGAGTAGGTGTGGTCTTGTTGGAGGAAGTGTGTCACTGTGGAGGTGGGCTTTAAGGTCTCAGATAGGCTCAAGCCACGCTCAGTAAGACAGACCACTTCCTATTGCCTGTGAGTCAAGATGTAGGCTCCTTCTCCAGCACCATGTCTGCCTGCACACTGCCTTGTCCCACCATGATGATAATGAACTGAACCTCTGAACTGTAAGCCAGCCTTTTAAATGTTTTCCTTTATAAGAGTTGCCATGATTATGATGTCTCTTCACAGCAATAGAAACCTGAACTAAGACAGTCTTTGAGAAAACAATCACCCTTTTTTTTTTTTTTAAGTCAAACTAGGAAGGGAATCTTAGAACATCAGGCTTTGAAAGAGTTCTGGAACGCTCCAGGCAAATGGGAACTTATTCCCATGGAATCCAGTGCCTAATACTCTTTCTCTAGAAGCAAACAACTCGCACATTTGGACAAATATTTATCATGTGACTGGCATACCCCTAGAAGCTGCTGAAATGGCAGTACACAAAAGAGGCAGGTACCCAGACCATCTTCAAACTTACAACCCAGTAGGGAAGATTCAATAAACAACAAAATAAATAGCTACAGTCTGTAGTATATTTGAAAGTTATGGCTGTTACCAGGAAGAGGAAAAATGTAAAACAGCAGGATATGGAATGAGCTGTTGTCATTGAAAAACGGCAATTGGAGCCAGCCAGACTAGGAAAGCACTACTGGAATAAACACATTCAGAAGGCAAAGGAGTTTCCTATAGATGTCTGAAGGACTGGCCTGAGTCAAGTCGCTGAGGTGGAGACAGGTCGTGAAAGGTGGAGGAACAGCCCAAAACGCTATGAGCTGTGCAAAAGTTGCCCAGAAAGAAAATAGTGTGACGTGAGGCCAGAGATGCACAAGGAAGCCAGTTGCCTAGGGCTACAGTATGATTGGCAGAAGTTTAGCATCATATAGTTTAGGCTGTAAAATGGTTACTCTGGCGCTGTTAAAAGTCATCTATAGACTGATATGTCATGGATTAGCCTAGCCAAAGAGGAAACAAAGCGTATGTGTGTATACTGGTTTGTTAGAGTGAAGGCCTTGAGATATAGGTATATTCTTGAAAACCAGCTTGAGAAAATTTACTGAGAGACTAGACTAAAGATCCTAGGGAAAAAGAAAAACCAATGATGATCAACTGGAAAAGTAAGTGATGTTGCCTATTTTAGCCGATATGGAATAGACTAGAATATGTTGGGGAGATAAATACAGGCAATCAAGAATCCAGTTTGGGAGATAAACATAATTCACTAAAACTCTATGCCATCTTTAGTGTTTATATTTTTTTAACACAGATAAATTTTGTGGTAATGGAAATTTTAGATTTGCAATATTTGCGATTGTTTTATTGAATTATCCGAATTTTTGTATGCTGAAGACTCAATGAGCTTGGCCTGACATGTTGAGGTTGTCCATCACTTTTTGTCACCAAGAGAAAATAAGCTTGAAGAAAGTTTGTTTTGGCTCACAGTCCCAGGGGGCTCAGTCTGTGCTCGGTGTTAAGGTTTGGATCTATAATGCTCCTCTCGGGCTTTTATTTTAAAAATCTCTAAGTCTATGCAGGCTCTTAGCAGTGATGCTACCTACAAGAAGTGGCTCACTAAGAGTAGACTACCGCAGTTGGTACCTGCCCTGGTTCTGGCCTGCACTCTCAGCCGGTGAATAGTCACAGTTTCACAGCCACTGCTACACAGAGAGGATGTCCCACCACACCTCCGTACCCTTCCCACCGTGATGGACTGAAACCCCCCTTTAACTGGAAGCTGAAGCACACCTCTCCTACCTTAAGGAGTTTCTACAGATATTTTGATCACTGTGTCCCAGAATTTGCTGTCCACCAGCTACACTAGACTTAAGACAGGGATGTCTTGGTGAAGGGCATAGCTGCCC